CACAGGCAGACAAACGAGCAGACAGACAGATAGACACAGGCAGACAAACGAGCAGACAGACAGATAGACACAGGCAGACAGACGAGCAGACAGACAGATAGACACAGGCAGACAGACAGATAGACACAGGCAGACAGACGAGCAGACAGACAGATAGACACAGGCAGACAGACGAGCAGACAGACAGATAGACACAGGCAGACAGACAGATAGACACAGGCAGACAGACGAGCAGACAGACAGATAGACACAGCAGACAGACGAGCAGACAGACAGATAGACACAGCAGACAGACGAGCAGACAGACAGATAGACAGGCGAACAGACGAGCAGACAGACAGATAGACACAGGCAGACAGACGAGCAGACAGACAGATAGACACAGGCAGACAGACAGATAGACACATAGACAGATAGCCGGGTAGACGGACAGACAGGCAGACATATAAACTAGCAGACAAATAAACAACAAAAAAAAAGCAAACAGACAAGCAGACACAGATAGACATAGACAGACAGACATTCAGAAAAAAAAAACGCTCCAGAGACAAAGACAGAAAAGAAAAAGAAAATAATAAACCAGGAATTGATGTTAATAATTCATGGCCAACAAAAGGAACATAAAGTCCATTACAAGATTGCGTAGCGAAGAGAAATGACCCTAATGGACAACAGACAGCGATAGTGATAATAGATACATGGAAATGAACGAGAAAGATGATGATAGTGGATGAGTGAAAAACGATGATAATAATCTCTGAGCAGAACGAATGAGGGAGGAACGTTACGTATGATGAAAATAGGAGTAAAAGATTAATCGAAAGGAAAAAGAAGAGAGGGAAGAGGTAGAAGAAGAATTATTAGAAGAAGACAAAGGAGAAGAGAAAAAAATAACACGTGGCAATAAGGAAGAGGAAGAGTAGAAAGCGCCGAAAGAAGAACGAAGAAGAATTAAAAGAAATAGAAGAAAAAGAAAAAGAAACAGCAAATAAACACACAAATAAAAAAAATGAAATAATCAAAACAAAAAGATAATACACATGACAATTAAACAAAAATAATATATAGAAGAATTATCAGAAGACAAAGAAGATTAAAAAGAAAACGCATAGCAATTAGAAAGAAGTAGAAACATGAAAAGAAGAACAAAGAGATATTAAAAGAAATAAAAGAAAAGAAAACTATAATAAGAAATAAATTAAAACAAATTAAACGCACAAATAAAAAAATAAAAAATGAAAATAAACAAAACAAATACAAAATATACTCGAAGTTAAAAACAGTGAAAACACAGTAATATAAAAAGAATACCCATTATCCCCGGTTGTCAGTCCCTCGCAGTAATAAACGTAAATCGATGGGGCCATAAACCGAAAAAGTAAATTTACTCTTTACCCTTTTCCATTACAGGATAAATGCGGGAAAATGGGAGAGTGACGATAAAGGGGAAAATTAGAGGGGAAGGAGATGATGGCGTTATGTCCGTTTTTTTTTCTTGGTTTGTTATTTATTTCTCGCTGCTGTCTGTCTGTCTGTCCGTCCGTCCCTATTCATACACACATATATTTAGATATATATACATATATACATATATATATGCGTGTGTGTGTGTGTGTTTGTGTGTTTGTGTGTTTGTGTGTGTGTGTTTGTGTGTGTGCGTGCGTGTTTGTGTGTGTGTGTGTGTTTGTGTGTGTGTGCGTGTGCGTATCCCCCTTAGGCAAGTTTTAGTGCGTGGGAGTCCGCTCGTGTGACCAAGGATGATAATGATAATGAATAAAAGATTGATTACAGACTTCAAGATTGCAGATGCCATTGCTATCAAGGTCATGATCAGCGTAAGCATTTGTGGTGGATGCAATTAGATGACGAGAGCATTATGCTTACTTTATGGTTATCTGAAATTTATTTACGTGTTTGTTTATTAGATGTGATATTTGTGGAAGGGATTACCTGACACGAAGGGTATGTGGATTGGAAAATTGTACGTCGGAGCGTTCAGGACTTAAGATATATGTAAAAGGGATTTGGAAATTAATCTGGTTCTGTCTGTTTATCTGTTTGTCTGTCTGTCTGTTTTTTCGGTCTTTTTGTCTGCCTGTCTGTCTGAACAGAAAAAAAAAACTAATTACACAGACACACAAACACACACACACACACATGCACATACATACATACATACATACATACACACACACACACACACACACACATGCACATACATACATACATACATACATACACACACACACACACATGCACATACATGCATACATACATACATACACACACACACACACACACACATACATGCACACATATATATATATATATATATATATATATATATATATATATATATATATATATATATATATATATATGGGTGTGTGTGTGTGTGATTAGTTTTTCTGTTCTAATCGTCACTATCCTTCAATATTGCTATTATCATTATCCTTGTTCACCATTATCATCATAAATGATTTTCCTTCTTCCTTCCTTATTCCTCCCCACCCTCCCACCCCTCTCTTTCTTCATCCCCTCCTCCTCTTCCTCCCTTCCTCCTCTTCCTCCCTTCCTCCTCTTCCTCCCTTCCTCCTCTTCCTCCCTTCCTCCTCTTCCTCCCTTCCTCCTCTTCCTCCCTTCCTCCTCTTCCTCCCTTCCTCCTCTTCCTCCCTTCCTCCTCTTCCTCCCTTCCTCCTCTTCCTCCCTTCCTCCTCTTCCTCCTCCTCCCTTCCTCCTCTTCCTCCCTTCCTCCTCTTCCTCCCTTCCTCCTCTTCCTCCCTTCCTCCTCTTCCTCCCTTCCTCCTTCCTCCCTTCCTCCTCTTCCTCCCTTCCTCCTCTTCCTCCCTTCCTCCTCTTCCTCCTCCTCCCTTCCTCCTCTTCCTCCCTTCCTCCTCTTCCTCCCTTCCTCCTCTTCCTCCCTTCCTCCTCTTCCTCCCTTCCTCCTCTTCCTCCCTTCCTCCTCTTCCTCCCTTCCTCCTCTTCCTCCTCCTCCCTTCCTCCTCTTCCTCCTCTTCCTCCCTTCCTCCTCTTCCTCCCTTCCTCCTCTTCCTCCCTTCCTCCTCTTCCTCCTCTTCCTCCCTTCCTCCTCTTCCTCCCTTCCTCCTCTTCCTCCCTTCCTCCTCTTCCTCCTCCTCCCTTCCTCCTCTTCCTCCCTTCTCCTCTTCCTCCCTTCCTCCTCTCCTCCCTTCCTCCTCTTCCCTCCCTCCTCCTCTTCCTCCTCTCTCCTCTTCCTCCTCTTCCTCCCTTCCTCCTCTTCCTCCCTTCCTCCTTTCCTCCCCTTCCTCTCTCTTCCTCCTCTCCCTTCCTCCTCTTCCTCCTCTTCCTCCCTCCTCCTCTTCCTCCCTTCCTCCTCTTCCTCCCTTCCTCCTCTTCTCTCCCTTCCTCCTCTTCCTCCCTTCCTCCTCTTCCTCCTCCTCCCTTCCTCCTCTTCCTCCTTCCTCCTCTTCCTCCCTTCCTCCTCTTCCTCCCTTCCTCCTCTTCCTCCTCCTCCCTTCTCCTCTTCCTCCCTTCCTCCTCTTCCTCCCTCTTCCTCCTTCCTCCTCTTCCTCCTCCTCCCTTCCTCCTCTTCCTCCCTTCCTCCTCTTCCTCCCTTCCTCCTCTTCCTCCCTTCCTCCTCTTCCTCCCTTCCTCCTCTTCCTCCTCCTCCCTTCCTCCTCTTCCTCCTCTTCCTCCCTTCCTCCTCTTCCTCCCTTCCTCCTCTTCCTCCCTTCCTCCTCTTCCTCCCTTCCTCCTCTTCCTCCCTTCCTCCTCTTCCTCCTCCTCCCTTCCTCCTCTTCCTCCCTTCCTCCTCTTCCTCCCTTCCTCCTCTTCCTCCCTTCCTCCTCTTCCTCCTCCTCCCTTCCTCCTCTTCCTCCCTTCCTCCTCTTCCTCCCTTCCTCCTCTTCCTCCCTTCCTCCTCTTCCTCCTCCTCCCTTCCTCCTCTTCCTCCCTTCCTCCTCTTCCTCCCTTCCTCCTCTTCCTCCCTTCCTCCTCTTCCTCCCTACACCTGCCTCACGCCACACAAAGACTCGCTAGACACGCTAACCTAAATAACGCTTTACACAATGGAGACAGTCACAATGGCAGAGGAAGCTGGTGCATTTAGGAGAGTTAAATATTGACTCTAATAATCACCTGCAGAGTTAGAATTAATTGAGGGAAAGGATAGACACACGCAAACGCATGCACACGCACAAATTCACACTCACGCACAAATATATACTCAGATGCATACTCACTCATACAGACACTCGTTTCTACTCTCATTTTCACTCATATTCTCAATCCATTCAGACCGACACTCACACGAATGCGCGCACTCGCATACACACACACACACGCACGCGCACGCGCACGCGCACACGCACACGCACACGCACACGCACACGCACACGCACACGCACACACACACACAAACAACACACGCACACGCACACGCACACACAAACAGACACACGCACACACATTTCACCGTACATCCATCCCTCTGATAGATACCCATAACAAAAGACAAAATAAAATAATGCCACAGTAAACATAAAAAAAGAGTAATGGCGAACGATTTAATTACAGAAACTTAATCTCAGAGAGACCCACACCCACACTTGACTGCCTTGTGTCACGCAGGAAAGCAAACTGTTAATTGACAGGATTGTCATTACATTTTATTTAGTGAAATATTTTTTTCGGTCACGCCACGGCAGGTATGGTTGTTGTTGTTGTTGTTGTTGTTTTTTAAATTTATCTAATGAATAAATAAATACATTGATAAATAGAGAGAAGAATAGAGGGAAGAAAGAGTTTTTTTTCTTCTACCGTAGTTTTGTTATAAATCTAGATGGGGTCGCCATTCCTAATTAGTACCTAAAAAAAAAGTAAATATGAAAAAAGTAAATATCAAAAAAGCTAAACCTAAAAAAAAAGTAAAAACAAATAATAACAATAAATAAAAATCTAACTCAAATCACCCTGATTATCACCCCCCCCCCCACGTCATCCTTCATTTTCTTCCCCACCAGTGACGGAACGAGAGGTCATCAACGGAATCCTGTCCGTGAAGAACACGAAGAACCACACGCTGGCCCTTGTCCGCTACATCAACAACATCAACTTGCAGAACCTACGTCGAGCGGCCAATTTCATCGACATCGTGAACCGACAGATCGACGGGGAAGCCATGAAGCTCTTGTCCGATCTGAGGGACGTGAGGCTTCCGGCGAGGATCGAGGCTTCCAACTACCATAGGTGAGGGGAAGGGAGGGAGGGAAGGCGAGAGGGGAGGGGAATAGAGAGGGGGAGGCGAGATGGGAGGGGAAGGGAGAAGAGGCGGAAGGCGAGAGGGGAGATGGGAATGGAGAGGAAGGGGAGAGGGGTGGGGAAGGGAGAAGAGGCGGAAGGCGAGAGGGGAGATGGGAATAGAGAGGGGGAGGCGAGAGGGGAGGGGAAGGGAGAAGAGGCGGAAGGCGAGAGGGGAGATGGGAAGGGAGAGGAAGGCGAGAGGGGTGGGGAAGGGAGAAGAGGGGGAAGGCGAGAGGGGTGGGGAAGGGAGAAAGGGGGAAGGAGGGAGAGGAAGGAGAGAAGGCGAAGGGAAAGGATTGGGAATGAGGAGGAGAGGAGAGGAAAGGTGAGGAAAGGAAAGGAAGGAGAGGAGAGGGGAAGATTAGGAATTAGGAACGGAGAGGATTGGGAAGAGTTGAGAGAGAAAGATAAAGAAGGGAAATACATGGGGAAGACTGAAGGATTGAGGGGCAAGGGGGATGGGAGATGAGAGGAGAGGAAAGAATAGAGGAAGGAGAGGAAATAGAAAAGAAAGACGAGAAAGGAGAAAAAGAGAGAATCTGAAAGAATAAAGAAAGGAGGGAAGAGAAGAGTACACCCAGAGAGGAAAAAGAGGGAAAGGGGAGAAGGAAAATCAAATATAACAGTCATGAGTCCCCTTAGGCCCACGAGGGGAGATAAGCTGAGCGGATTCGTGGGATTAGGAAGACGTAGAAGATGGAAGAAAAAGAGATTAGGAGAAGAAAAAGATTAGAAGGAAGGGGGGGGGTGACTAAGGGCAAACGAGGTGAGGGGAATTGATGGTAGGGAGAAGAGGAGAAGGAGGGGAAAGGGAGGAAAGCAAGATAGAGTGAGAGGATTAAGAGGGCATGGAAAAAGAGAGAAAGAGGGGAAATAAATGAGGGGGAAAAGAGAAAGCATGAGAGAAAGGGAAGGTTGAGAAGGGTTTTTTACAACTGAGTGACAGGTCAAATTGGGGATTATATTAAGATTGAGAAATATTCTGGAAATACACACACAAAAAAAACACGCACATACACCAAACACAAACACACATGCACACGCACAAAATCCCAACACACTCACACACACACACACACACACACACACACACACACACACACACACACACACACACACACACACACACACACACACACACACACACACACACACACACCCACACACACACACGTACAACTCAAGACAACACAAACACCCACCCACACACCCACACTCTCATTCAACACAAACATACCCTCTTTCCATAACCACCGCCTTCTCCCTCCCAGATACACAGTCGAGTGGATAGGGCGAGAGGGCCTGGCGAAGGAGACCCACGGCGAGTACCTGCAGGAGTTCTGTACACACTTCTACAAGGGCATGACCAAACTCATCGACCGGGCCATGAGGAAGGAAGATTCATCGGCACAGGGACAGATTATTACCGAGATTCTGCAGCATCTTCATGCTTGTAAGAACTCCGTGCAGGTGCGTCTTGTTTTTTCCCCAGTATTTCATTTTAGGCTTTTAAAATTTGATTAACGTTTTTTTATTTTTTTATTTGTGTGCGAACGTGGTTTGTGTGTGTTCTTAACTAATTGTTATCACCTAGCTGTTTCAACAGTTCATGATCGCCTCTTTTTACTTTTTTTTTTTTTTACTGTGTTCTCTCGTCCTTCTTGTAACTTCACTCTTCCTATAACATAGTTGAACAGCATAGTCATATTGAAAGTCCTATTGTCTGTATTTTCGTTACTTATTGGAGGTGTCCAACTTATGGCTGTTCTTTGAACTCTTTCTAGTTTGTCTGTATATATTGATTATATTGATTCCATGTACTAGGGTTGGTCTTAGGATGTTTGTAATGATCTTTCTTTCAAGATTTACCTCAAGATATGTGTGTGATTGTTTTGTCTGTTGAGAGGGGGAGAGAGGAGATAGAGAGAGAGAGAACGAGAAAGAGAATAAATAAAAGAGAAAGACAAAGAGAAAAAGAGCCTAAAAGAAAAAGAGAGAGAGAAACCCAAACCCAGCGCAATCTAACACTATCTTCACCCGCCTCTCTCTCCCTCCGCCAGGTCTTCTACGGGCGCGAGGAGGAAGTGAAGAAGGTCGAGGACTACATCAAGGGCCCCTCCGTCAACCCCCTCCTCCTGCACGGGGCAGGGGGGTGCGGCAAGACCTCCCTCCTGGCCAAGTGCGCCGCCAGCAGCTTCGAGTGGCTCTCTCACGCCAAACCTATCCTCGTCATTCGCTTCGTCGGGACTTCCCCGGAGTCGACGGCCCTCACGCCCTTGCTCACCTCGATCTGCCATCAGGTGGGCGGGGGGGGGGGGGGGCAAAGAGGGTGGGGAAGGGCGGGGGACAGAAGGGGCGAAATAAAGGGACGGGAAGGGCTGGGCGATGAAGAATGGTGTTGGGCCAGGGAGGGGGGGGGGTAAGCTGACGAGGGTGATAGTGACTTGAAGAAAGGATAAGAGATATTGACGATTAGTATCATATCGCTTATTTTTAACAAGACTGATTGTTATTAATTGTAAAACAAGAATGTTTTTTTCTAACTTGTGCATATGTGGTTTTGTTGAAATTTCTAATTATAGTGCAGTATAATAAACCTTGTTGTTGAAACATATACCTCTATAACGTTATAACCATCATCTATATATGTGTGTGTATGTGTATGTGTGTGTGTATGTGTATCGTTTCCATATTCATATTCTCTAATCATTTTTTCTTTTCTTTTCTCTCTCCCAGATATCCTACAATTACATGCTTCCATTTGAGGATATTCCGGACGATCTTGTGCCTCTTACAGCCCATCTCAAGGAACTGCTCAACTGTGCCACGACGCAGATGGTGGGTTAGCAGTTAGCGGTTATTTTTTTAAGGGTTGGCGGTTGACTATCGGCGGTTGATTTTTAAGGATTGGCGGTTGGTCTTTAAGGATTGGCGGTTGATTTTTAAGGATTGGCGGTTGACTATCGGCGGTTGATTTTTAAGGATTGGCGGTTGGTCTTTAAGGATTGGCGGTTGATTTTTAAGGATTGGCGGTTGACTATCGGCGGTTGATTTTTAAGGATTGGCGGTTGGTCTTTAAGGATTGGCGGTTGATTTTTAAGGATTGGCGGTTGGTCTTTAAGGATTGGCGGTTAATTTTAAGGATTGGCGGTTGATTTTTAAGGATTGGCGGTTGACTATTAGCGGTTAATCTTAAAGGGTTAACGGTTGGTGGTTGGCAGATGATGGACACTGTTTCCGTCACTGTTTACTTTTGCTGTTGTTGAGGAAGGAGAGGGAGCGGTGATGGAATGAAGGATTTGGGGGGTCTGGGTAGGAGAGAGGGAGGAAAAAAAAACTTAATATAAATAGATAGATAGATAGAAAGGGGGGGGGGGGGGGACCAACACCAAACTCCCGGCCACGTCTTCATATACAATAGCGCTGACGAGGCCATGTTTACACCTCGATCAGCTGACGTGCGTAGTACACGCGAAGAAAGGATATGAATGGGGTAAATAGAGTCGCTCGCATGCTGTGGTCTGTTGACGTAATCGACCAATATGATGAAGGTCTGGGAGAAAGGGGGTGGGGGAGAGAGGGGTGAGGGAGAGGGGAAGGGGAAGGATAAATGTGAGGGAGAGGGTTAAAGGGAGGGAGAGGGGAATGATGGAAAGGGTGAGTGGATAAGATAGAAGGGGAGGCGAGGGAGGAAGTATGAGGAGGGAGGGGATAGGAGTGAGGGAGAGAGTTATGGGAGGAAAAGGGGAAAGGTGAGTAGATGAGAGGGAGGGCAATGGTGAAGGGGGGGGGGACGAGGGAAAGGGACGATGATGAGGGAGGGGGTAAGGGTGAGGGCGAGAGAAGGGAAAGAGAAGGGAAATGAGGGAGAGGGGTGAAGCAGAGGGACAAAGAGAGGGGTGAGAAAAGAATGAGGGAAAGGGCGAAAATGATGATGAAAGGGAATGAAAGAGGAAGAGGGAGAGGGTTAGGGAGGGTCGGGATTAATGTGACGAAGAGGATAAGCAGTTCATTTATTCACTTTAATCAAATAAATGAACGTTGATTTTTAAAAAAGTTTATCTTTTAGACTTTGGGTTTAATTACTGGCCGATATCTTAGACAGTTCGCAATTCAGATATCATACATACACAGACGCCCACACGTACATAGTGATTAGGTAGAGGTAGGAGGTGAGAGGAAGAGAAAAAGGAAGAGGAGAGATGGGGTGAGACGCCTATATAATGTCCAGGAGACAGAAAGGAAAATGTGCATTGCGTGACGGAATAACCATATATGTAACTATAGTGCTGGGGAGTTCATGGTTGTATGATCCATATAGTGTTAGTATGGTGTACACTAATCCCGGCCTCAATGTCTTGTTATTCATATCAATTGTAATAGCACTTTGTAGACGAATAAGATTAAAACCTCCATGGCCTTGACAAATGCCATTATACTAACCTCGAAATATCATCATAATAACCCTATAAAATCTGAAACCAATCCATAGGACCTGAAACCAATCCCACAAGACCTGAAACAAACCCCATAGAACCTGAAACCAACCCCGTAGAACCTGAAACCAACCCCATACGACATGAAACCAACCTCATAGAACTTGAAACCAACCCCATATAACCTGAAACCAACCTTATAAGCCCTGAAACCAACCCCATAAGGCATGAAACCAACCCCATAGAACTTGGAACCAACCCCACAAGACCTGAAACCAACCTCATAGAACCTGAAACCAACCCCATAGAACCTGAAACCAACCTTATAAGCCCTGAAACCAACCCCATAGACACTGACACTAACCTGAAACCCCTGTCTCCTCTCCCCTCAGCCACTTCTGATCTACCTGGACAGCGTGGACCAGGTCACAGGCGCCACCGATGCCAACCGTATGTCTTGGATTCCCACCAGGCTTCCTCCCAATGTTAAGGTAAGGCGAGGAAAGGTGTTTTGGGTTGTCTTTCGTTCTTGTTTTTTTTTCTCTTTTTCTTTCTTCTTTCTTTGATCTCTCTTTCTTTCTTTGGTTCACTCTGTCTCTCTGTATGTCTGTTTGTGTCTCACTTTCTCTGTCTTTCTCTTTTTCTTTCTTTGACTCTCTGTCTCTCTCTCTCCTTCTGTGTCTCTGTCTCTCTCTCTCTCTCTCTCTCTCTCTCTCTCTCTCTCTCTCTCTCTCTCTCTCTCTCTCTCTCTCTCTCTCTCTCTCTCTCTCTCTCTCTTTTCCCTCTCTCTCTCTAAGGTTATATGTATTTTTATCAATGTTACGTTCTTCATTCTCCCTTCCCCCTTTCGCCATTCCCCCTCGCGAGTATGCTACGTGTTCACGCTCCTTTCAGATCCTTATGTCCCTACTATCTCCTTTTCTGTCACTCCTTTCCTTTCGTTTTTCCTCTCTCTCTCTCCATCACTCCCTTCCCTTCACTCCCTCTCTCCCTCTCCACCACTCCCTTCCCTTCATCTCTTCCTCTCCTTCATTTCCTTCCCTTCGCCCATCCAGATCGTTTTGTCCTTCCTCTCTCCCTCCCTCATTCCCTTCCCCTCCCCCTTCCCCTCCTCATCCCCTTCCCTTTACCCTTCCTCTCTCTCTCCCTCACTCCCTTTCCTTCAACCCTTCCACTCTCCCCCTCTCCTTTACTCCCTTCCCTTCACCCGTCCTCTCTCTCCCTTCCCCTTCCTCTCTCCCTCACTCCCTTCCCCTCGCCCTTCCTCTCTCCCTCACTCCCTTCCCCTCGCCCTTCCTCTCTCCCTCACTCCCTTCCCCTCGCCCTTCCTCTCTCCCTCACTCCCTTCCCCTCGCCCTTCCTCTCTCCCTCACTCCCTTCCCCTCGCCCTTCCTCTCTCCCTCACTCCCTTCCCCTCGCCCTTCCTCTCTCCCTCACTCCCTTCCCCTCGCCCTTCCTCTCTCCCTCACTCCCTTCCCCTCGCCCTTCCTCTCTCCCTCACTCCCTTCCCCTCGCCCTTCCAGATCGTGGTGTCCTGCGTGTCGGAGGACAACGACCCCGAGCTCTCTAAAGACTACACGCTCCTGCGCAGGATGATTGACAACATAGACAATTTCCTAGAAGTGAGGGCGCTGGGAGAGGACCTGGCCATGGACATCATCAAGTGGGTGGCGAGAGCGGTGTGGGTAGTTAGAATTAGGCAGGATTAAGTGATAATGATTGGGTGGTCTTGATGTTTAGAATTAGAAGGAATTATAACTGAGCGGTGTGGATATTTAAAATTAGGGATGATTAAGTAATACTAATTGGGTGGTGTGGATATTTAGAATTAGGAAGGATTATAATTGCGAAGTCTTGATATTTAGAATTAGGGATGATTAAGTAATAATAATTATGTGGTATTGATAGTTAGAATTAGGAAGGATTTTGATTGAGTGGTCTTGATATACAGAATTAGGAAGGATTAAGGAATAATGATTGAGTAGTCTTGATATACAGAATTAGGGAGGATTATAATTGAGTGGTCTTGATATACAGAATTAGTGAGGATTAAGTAATAATAATTGGGTGGTCTTGATATTTAGAATTAGGAAGGGTTATGATTGAGTGGTGTGGATATTTAGAATTAGGGAGGATTAAGTAATAATAATTGGGTGGTCTTGATAGTTAGAATTAGTAATTAAGTGGTGTGGGTATTTAGAATTAGGATTAGGGATTATAATTGAGTGGTCTTAATATTTAGAATTAGGAGGGATTATAATTGAGTGGTGTGGATATTTATAATTAGGAAGGATTATTATTGAGTGGTCTTGATATATAGAATTAGGGATGATTAAGTGATAATAATTGAGTGGCGTGGATATTTAGAATTAGAGACGATTAACTAATAATAATTGAGCGAAGTGGATATTTGAAATCATATTCACCCATTTGATTGTTTCATTGGTGTGAACTGATTAATGTGGCTGATCGGGTTAGATTTTTTTAAGCCAAAGAGAATATTTAATCCTAAAGTATTGTCTCAAAATAGATTTTTAAAAGGAATAGAGCGATATTAATGAGAAATAAGTGGAAACTATGCATAACACGCCCCCCCCCCATACTAAACGTGGAGAAAGGAAGGCAGACAGAAAATCAAAAGATTCACAGTTTTACGTATGTGGTATGTGGTAAAATGATGAGGATAAAGAACACACACACAAATAATAAAAAGAAAATCTATAACTATTCTCTCCGCAAAAAAGGGTGAAGAAAAGATTAAAATTATTCAACAAATGAACATGAAAGATACCAAAACCTAAAAAAAACAAACTATAATCTCCTCCAAAAAATCATGCAACATGCCACCCCCCCCCCCCCCTTCCGAAAAAAAAATCAACGAAACTACCAAAACCCCCATTAATTAACAACCATCTCCTCTCCCTTCCCTTTCCCCCACTTCCTCCCTTTCCCTCACTTCCCCTCCTTCCCCCTTCCCCTCCCCAGGAAATGGATGTGCACCGCCAAGCGTGACCTGAACAACTACCAGTGGCGAGTGGTGAGTAACGCCATCTCTCGGTGCTCTTTGCCCATCTTCGTCAAACTCGTCTTCGCTGAGATCTGCCGCTGGAAAAGCTACAGCAAGCCACAGGACACGTATCTCGCCTCCAACGTGATGGATTCCATAATGATGCTCTTCTCCAAGGTCGAAGTCAAGGTGGGTTTTTTGCGAGTGGGGGAGAGGGGAGGTGGAGGGATAGGGGGAGGGAAGGTGGAGGGATAGGTGGAGGGAAGGTAGAGGGAAGGTAGAGGGGTGGAGGGGGAGGGAAGGTGGAGGGAAGGTGGAGGGATGGAGGGAAGGTGGAGGGATAGGTAGAGGGAAGGTAGAGGGGTGGAGGGGGAGGGAAGGTGGAGGGAAGGTGGAGGGATGGAGGGAAGGTGGAGGGATAGGTGGAGGGAAGGTAGAGGAGTGGAGGGGGAGGGAAGGTGGAGGGAAGGGGGAGGGGTGGAGGGAAGGGAAGATAGGTGGAGGGAAGGAAGGGAAGGGGGAGGGATAGGTGGAGGGGTGGAGGGAGAGGTTGATGATGGAGAGAGGTGGAGGGAAGGAAGGAGAGGGGGAGGGAAGGGAGGAGAGAGGGGAGGGGGGTGGAAGGAAGGAGTGAGGGAAAGAAGAAAGGAAAGGGGAAAGGAAGGAAGGAGTAGGGAAGGGAAGGAAGGAGAGGAGGATGGAAGGGAGAAGAGGTGGAAAGGGAGAGGGGAAAGGAAGGGAGGAGAGATAGAGGGAAAGCAGGAGAGGGGGAGAGGGGGAGTTTAGGTGAAGTGAGGGGAATGAAAAAGAGAGAGAGAGAGAGAGGACGAAAGTGGAGGAAATGTAGCAGGTAGAGAAAGAAGGAAAGGGAAGGTGGAGAGAGGAGAGGGATAGAGTTTGGAGTGATGGAAGGAAGTGCAAGAAATATGCAAAAATACACTATAATATCCTTATTTTTATTCCACAGTTTCTTTCCATCTTATTCTTCACATTCCTTAACCCGTCTCTCGTCACCATCAGCCTAATATTTTCCTCTTATTTTCTCTATCTTCATATTCCTTTTCCCATTTCTTGCCATCATCATCCTAACATTTCTCTCTTTTTCTATCTCATTCTCCACATCCTTTATCCCAACATCCTAACATTTTTTATCTTTCTTCATCTATCTCCTTCTCCTTCTTCGTATTCCTTATCCCAACATTTTATTTTCTTTCTTTCTTCATCTATCTCCTTCTCCTTCTTCGTATTCCTTATCCCAACATCCTAACATTTTTTATCTTTCTTCATCTATCTCCTTCTCCTTCTTCGTATTCCATATCCCATCTGATCTTATCGCATGCCATCCTAACATCCTAACATATTTTTCTTTCATTCTCTCTCATCCTCCCCATCACATATCCCAACATTCCATTTTTTTTCCTTTCTTTACCTATCTCCTTCTCCTTCTTCGTATTCCCTATCCCATCTTATCTTATCGCATGCCATCCCAACATCCTACCATATTTTTCTTTCATTCCCTATCTCATTCTCCACATCACATATCCCAACATTCCATCTTTTTTCCTTTCTTCACCTATCTCCTTCTCCTTCTTCGTATTCCATATCCCCATCTGATCTTATCCTATGCCTCCTCTCCACAGCACGGACGTCTGTTGGTATTCCACGCTCTCGCCTACATCACCGCCAGCAAGAACGGTCTTTCGGAGAGTGAGCTCGAGGATCTCATCTCGCTCGATGACAAGGTATATGAGAAGAGATGGAGGAGGAGGTGGTGATGGTGATGATGGAGGAGGAGGTGGTGGTGGTGGAGGAGGAGGAGGGGGATGGAGGAAGAAGTGGAGGAGGAGGTGGTGATGGTGGTGGAGGAGGGGGTAGGGGAGGTGGTGGTGGAGGTGGTGATGGTGGTGGTGGAGGAGGTGGAGGAGGAGTAGGAGGAGGCTGATAAGGAGGAGGAGGAGGCTGAGAAGGAGGAGGAGGAGGAGGAGGAGGAGGCTGATAAGGAGGAGGAGGAGGCTGAGAAGGAGGAGGAGGAGGAGGAGGAGGAGGCTGATAAGGAGGAGGAGGAGGCTGAGAAGGAGGAGGAGGAGGAGGAGGAGGAGGAGGTGGAGGTGGTGGTGGTGGAGGTGGAGGAGGAGTAGGAGGAGGCTGATAAGGAGGAGGAGGAGGCTGATAAGGAGGAGGAGGAGGCTGAGAAGGAGGAGGAGGAGGCTGAGAAGGAGGAGGAGGAGGCTGAGAAGGAGGAGGAGGAGGCTGAGAAGGAGGAGGAGGAGGAGGAGGAGGAGGAGGAGGAGGAGGAGGGGAGGTGGGGGTGAGAGAGAGAGAGAAAGAAAGAAAGAGAGAGAAAGAACCATAAGATTAAAAAAAGATCATAAAACAAACCACACACACAAAAAAAACTAAAAAAAAAAAAAAATGAACTCAACAAGAACAACATCAACGACCCAAAAACCACTCATACCACCCTTCATACCACCCACACAGGTCCTGGACGACGTATACCAATACCACATGCCGCCCGTCCGTCGCATCCCGCCCCTTCTGTGGACGAGGATAAGGAACGATCTCCCCAACTACCTGTCTGACTGTGAGGCTGATGGGGTCTCGGTGCTAAATTGGTACCACAGGTGAGCCAAGGATGAGTATGGGTAAAAAATGAGACTAAAAATTCATGGAGTGTTTATCAGAAGGGGGTGTTGCTGCTACTGCTAGTACTGAGGGGGATGTTATTAGCGTATTTGTTATTGTTTTGTTGGTGTTTGGTATTGTCTTTATTGTTATTATGATTCTTGTTATTGTCATTATTGTTATTGTGATTATCATGATTATTGTTATTGTTTTACTATTATTATCATTGTTATTGTTGCTGTTGTTGTTATTATTGTAGTTATTATTCATTAATATCATTATTATTATTATTATTATTATTATTATTATTATTATTATTATCATTATTATTATCACTATTATCATCATCATCATTATTAGCGTTATTATAGTTAGCATTATGGTAATGATAATGATGATTGTTGTTATAGTTATTTTTATATTATTATCACTATTATTATTATTATTGCTGTTGCTGTTATTACTGTTATTGCTATTGTTATTCTTATTATTATTGTCATTATTATTATTACTACTATTATTATCATTGACAATGCTATTATTCTTTTTTATTATTATTGTTATTATTATTATTATTATTATTATTATTTTATTATTATTATTATTATTTTATCATTATTATTATTATTATTATTATCATCATCATCATCATCATCATCATCATCATCATCATCATCATCACCATTATCATTATTACTATTATTATCAGCAGCAGTATCATAATCATTATCAATATTATTATTACTCTCATTATTAAGACAGCTATCATTATTGTCGTTATCATTATGACGGTCAACATCATAACTATCCTCATCACCACCTCACCACCAACCTTCATCTCACCTCATCAGAATCATAACCCACCCACCCACTCACCCAAAACCCACCCATTCTCACCCATCCACCCACCTACTGACCCAACCACCCACCCACCCACCCAAAACCCAACCACGCACCCGCCCACCCACTGTCACCCAAAACCCACCTACCCAAAATCCATCACCCACTCACCCAATCAAACCACCCTCCTTTCCCCACTCACCCACCAATCCCCCCCCCCCCAATCCAGTCACCCAAAACCCACCCATCCTTCACCCACCCAAAACCCACCCAACCTCACCCACCCATTTTCACCCACTCACCCAAACCCCACCCATCCTTCACTCACCCAAAACCCACCCACCCATTTTCACCCACTCACCCAACCTCACCCACTGACTCTCACCCACTCACCCAAAAACCCACCCAAAACCTCACCCACTCACTCTCACCCACCCAACCTCACCCCCTTCCCCACTCACTCTCACCCAAAACCCACCCACCCACTCTCACCGCCCCCCTCCTTTCCCCCCACCCCGCAGACAGTTCAAAGAAGCCGCCATCAAGAGATATTTCACCAACCAGAACATGGCACAATATTTCTACTCCATGATCGCTGACTATTTCCTGGGCACTTGGGGGGGAGGCATACCCAAGCCCTTCAAGTACACGGAGATCCAGAGGCATAGGTAAGGGAGTGTGGTGACTGGTATGGTGACCGGTATGGTGACTGGTAGGGTAACTGGTATGATGATAGGTAAGGTGACTGGTATGATGATTGGTGAGGTGACTGGTATGATGACTGGTATGGTGACTGGTAGGGTAATTGGTATGATGACTGGTATGATGATAGGTAAGGTAACTGGTATGATGATTGGTATGGTGACTGGTAAGGTGACTGATATGATGACTGGTATGCTGTTTAGGATTTGGAAATTCAGAGGCATAGGTAAGGGAGT